TATATATATATTATAGGAGTTATATATAGGAGTTATAACCCATCCTGGAGAAAAATCCACCAGCCGCCACTGGTCACAACTAAAATATAATTATAAGGACATTTGTATCTAACAAGAAAATAAAAATCAGATCTATATTCACAATGAGATTTCCTTAAAAGACGATAAATATCACGCTTCGAGCACTCAAACATGTTTTTATGATTCTGAAGGGATCAGCTTGCAGTATCAGATGATTTCAAGACTCAAAACCTGAACAACTCCAGTTGGATGCGTCCGGGTCAGAGTTGTGTTGGGCTACAGGTACATCCCGTTGATGAGGTAATCCGACTCCTCGGTGGTGAGGGGGCGAGCTTTCTTTAGTTTGTGACGAACGAGTCTGAGCCGGCAGCCGATCATGAGCAGCAGCAGAGCCGTGATGAGGATGCCGAGTGCCAGAGGAAGGATCGCTCCTGGAGGAAGAAACGAAACGGTTCAGAGAGCGAGGAGGACGACGTCTGCAGCAAACCGTTCGACCACAAAGATGTGAAGTTTGTTAGCAAACCAGTCCGGAGTAAAATGAATTTAGGATTAAAGCAGCATGACGGTAAACAAGGTTTGAAAGCACAAATGGATGGTTCTGACCTGACTCTGGTCCTGGATGTCCCCCCATAACTGGGAATGATTTGGAGACGGGCGTCTCACCGCCTGCTTGGCTTTTGGAGACTTTAGTCGTAGCTTCAACAAAAACACAAAATATCAGAAAACGCTAAACTAAGCAGAACATGTTAATTTTCAGATTAAATTACCCGTCTCAGTCTGTTTGGTGACTGCAGCCGCTCCACTTGGTGGTTTGAAAACTGGACCTAAATACGTCGTTAATGTCAGATTTTCTTGTCCAGATTCAAAATTAGACTGAACGATGAACAAAGCGGGTTCTTACTTTTCTGTATACATTCACTGACGCAGTCAGATTCCTGGAGGAAGTTGTTATGGTTTCCCTGGCAACCGCCGTACAGGAAATGTTTACATTCTCCGGCCTTTTTGTCGTAGTACCAGCGTGGGAAGGTGCCTTTACACGGGCCGACAACCGGCGCCGCAGCACATGGATCTACAGGAGAAAATATATTAACATCCAACAAAGTTCAGTCAGGTCCTCAGGATGGTTTCTTTTTGTTGAAACGTTTCGTCTTCATCAGTCTGAGGAGCCACAACAAACTCGGTCTTATAAATAGCACTTTCACATAGTGGGTCAACCAGTTTGATGGTGCTCAGATGGTTTCTGGGGTCTGCCCTCTCCCCCACTGACTTGTCTGAGGGCAGCCATGGCCAAAGTGGTTTAAAATATCATGATTCATGCGCAATAATCCAGATACAAAGTTAAGTCAGGTCCTCTGGACGGTTTATTGTTGTTGAAACGTTTTGTCTTTCATCCAGAAGACTTCATCAGCAGAAGGTTCACAGTCCTCCAGTTTTACATGAGGGAAACTAAACAGATGGCCCAGCACAGACGAGCAGCATCATCAGGCCAAGACTCTGCAGTTGATCATCTGCAGGTCAGCGGTCACTCTTTCAGGGATGAAGATGTTTACATCCTTCATAGAGAGGAATAGGCCAGCTGTCACGATAATACATTTTGCTGGGCGATTAATTGTCTCAGAAATTATTGCGATAAACGATAATATTGTTTGAAATTTGGCAATAATTAATAATTATTGTCAAATTTAAGAAGAAATGTTGGTTAATTTGTGTGTAGTACCTTTTTTGACCACTGGATGGCAGTATAAGACTGTTTGAACCGAAGGATGGATAGTGAGGGAGCGAGCAGTGTGTCTCTTTAAGAAAAATGACAGGGAGGCCCCTTGACGTGACATGGGCTGTTTCTCTTTCCTGTTTATTTGGTTCTCAAAATGGCGGACGCTCGGTGTGGTTTGAGCTCTTTAGCATAGCGTTTTTCACACAAAGCGTTTAATAAAAAATCAGTAAACAAGTTCTCAGCTTCTTTTTGCGGAGAAAAACAACTTTTTACACAAAGGCACGGGTTTCAGCCGTGAATTTTCGCGCTTCGACAAGACGGATGTTTTTTTCAAAGTCGTCCTGTTAGCTTAGCTTGTAGCTTAGCGTCTCAGCTTAGCTGCTTTTAATGATCCGAAAACGCGATTTTGGACGGTTAACATGGATTTTAAAGAGAAAAGGAGGGGTCAGTGAAGAGCACTGGGTTGAGCTTTTTAACTTCCAGTGTCTTCAGTAGAGACACACGAAGAAATGATAAATGAAAATGAGGTCGATCATTTTCATTTATCCTGCGATGAATTGATTTATTGTTTATCGTGACAGGCCTAGAGAGGAATGTTGGTTTGAGAGAGGAGTGAAGGAGGCCATCTTTGTGAAGACAAACCGTCCATCATTAAACGGGGCGGAGGTCTCCGTGTCCAACTGTCCCCCTCTTACAAGGCTGTTATTGCTAGTATCACTCAGACCTCTGTGAATAGCAAGCAGCCATCAGGTCATTAACAATCTGTGGTTAGGCTGATGGTCCTTTATCGTGTAAACAGCTAGTTCTGGCTGTCACTAGCAATGGTTGATCCATTATAAGGTGCTGCTTATAAGACTGAGTTTGTTGCAGCTCCTCAGACTGAAGAAGTCTTTTGGATAAAAGATGAAACGTTTCAACAAAGAAGAATCCGTCCAGAGGACCTGACTCAACCTTGTTAGATAATCAATGTATGTTCATCAGCTGACACAACTAAAGACGGCCACCACAGACTACTGACCTTTGACAAGACGTAAATGGCTACAGCTCAATCATTTCTCAATAAAAGATTATTTGAGTCTAAAAGTCTGGGATGAAAGGCAGTGAGTGATTTGTATTCCTTCAAGGAATGTTGCTTTTTATCTGTTGGGTTTTAAATTTAATTTATTTATAATTTTTATTTTACCTTCATTTCAGCAGGTGAAATATTAGAGAACCAGTTCTCATTTACAATCATGACCTGGAATGGTAACTGTTTACTTTATGTCATATTTATCTGAGCTGCTCATCATTCTTCTCATGTAAGTCCTGCCAGCTGTCCCCTTCAGGTACCACTGATCCTGTGGGAAATCACAGTTTTGATCTGAACATTGTATCAACTGATGGGGCCTTCATGCATGTTTTACTGTTGGACACACGGTTAGACTGAATTCATCTAAAAATAGTTAAAGTCAGTGATAAAACTCATTACTCCAACATTTTTAGCTTCATTCGTTCAGCACATGAAGACCTGCTGGTCCGTAACACTCAGGGTCCATTAGCTGTGGGTGAAGGGGCTTTGTGGCTGGTCTCAGTCTGACTCACGGATCGGATGGCGGGGGGGACAGAGGAGCTTTGTTTAGGCTCTCAGAGGAGAAGCAGGCAGAGATCTGCTTTCTCGCTGACTTCAGCGCGGCCCTACGGCTCTGCCAGCGTTTTGTGCTCGGTGGCAGCTCCTCTGCGTCGACGCTCCGACTCATTACAAAGAGACGCTGCTCTGATGGCTCAGGGTCAGATTACGCTGCAAACGTTCGAACAGGACAAATGTTTGCAGAGGGCGGCACGGTGGTGCAGTTGGTAGAGCTGCTGAGCAGGTTGCTGGCTTCATTCAATCTGTCTCTCGCACAGTGACTGCAGGACGTGGGCACCAGTGACCCCCTCGACCCGATAAGGAAGAAGCGGGTAAAGATGACGGATGGATGTTTGCAGAGTTAAACTGAACTGCACATTTGGAACAATCACTTTATTTATTTTCAGCACACCCTGAAGCATTTTAATGTTTGTTTTTAACGTCGCTGCTCTTTAGTGACTCAACAAAAATAACTCCTTCAGAACTCCCACCCTGCAGCAGAAGCACCTTACCTTGGCCTACAGAAGCCTCCTGATCACGGGGGCCTTGTGGAGGAGCAGCCTGGCTCCTGTCTACTGCTGACGTGACAGTTTTTCTGGATCCAGCTGGGACCACGGGGGGGACCACGGGGGGGTCCTCGGCCTGCTCCGTCTGAGCTGCAGGCTTCTGGGGCTCCGCAGGATGGGTCACCGACTTCCTGCTGCTGTCAACTACAAAAACATAACATGCGATCAATCAGGGAGGAAGTTTTAAAGTCAAGGTTTTAAAATAAAAATATCAAAAAGGAATCATACAGTTTGTGCAAAAGTCCTCATCGGAGCGGTCCGGACAGTGCTGCCTCCCGTCGCAGGCGTAGGAGATGTCGATGCAGCAGCCGTCGTCACACTTGAACTGATAGTTGGAGCAGATACCAGTGCACACTGACGACACACAACACACACCTTCTGTTACAGCTGGGGAATGATCAATGCAAAAGGCACAGCCGAAATACAAAACAATCAATCAATCAATCAATATAGAAACTACAACAACAAACTAAAGTTAAAAACAAAAATAATTACATTTTATGCAAAAATACAGTGTGAATGCTTATTGCTGAAGAACTTGATGAAAAACAGCTGAAATTAGCTAAAAACATGCTAAAATATAGCTGAAATGGAAGAACAAGCTTAAATTAGCAACAAACAAAAAAAAAAGCTGAAAAGTAGCTGAAAAGGCAGAAAGAAGCTTAAACTTGCATTTAGACACTAGGGTTTGGATAGAGTTGGGGTGGAGGGGAAACTGGCACCATGCCAGCCTTTGCTCCTTCTTCTTTCCTTTTTAATGGCACTATACAACAACACACATCAACAGCACATCTAGGGGTGGGGGTGTATGTGTCGGGGTCTTATTTTTAGTTATTTATTTATTTTATTTATTTATTTTTTTTTTTCTCCTCTTCCTACCCACCTAGTTCCCTGACTGCCATTCCGGGGGTGGGGTCCGGGAGAAGGGCAGGCCGTCGGGTGTTGACCAGGACTATGTGGGGGTTCAGGGTCTGGGGGTTGCCGTGGGCGGTGCTGGCGCTGTGCTCTCCCTGGGGTTGTTTGGACCCCCCTGAGCTTGGCTCTTGGGTGCCATGGTTGGCCCGCTGGCCAGGGTGGCTGCCGGGGCCTGGCGGGCGGTCGGCTGGGGGTGCGTGCTTGGTTGTTGGCGGTGTGTGGGGGTGGTCGGTGGCGTGTCCTCTTCATGGTGGGGGGGTATCCTGTCGGCGGGGCATGGCCTGGGCCGGGTCTGGGGTATTGGCTCTTCTCCGCTCAAGAATGAATGGGTTTACCTCCTGGGTTTGGGCATGGGCTGCCCCCTGTAGAGGGCGGGTACATGTCTTGGACCTGGGGGGTATAGAGTGTGTATCGGGAATAAGAATGAAATGTATCGTTATTGTATGTCTTTGAGTGAATGAATGTGAGATTGAGGTTGGGATAGTGTGATTGTGTATGTGTATGAATGGGTATTTGTTAGGCCGAGACTCGGACTGCCCCCTCTTTGATACAACTGGGGGTGCTTGGCATCGCGCCCCTATCGCGCGGCCCCCTGGTGGGGTGTGCCCTTGCCTGCCGGCGCGCTTGGGGCCCTTGGTATCGGGGGCTGGGCGCTTGGGCGTGTGTCGGCTCGGCCTGGTGTCTGCCTGGTGGGGCTCGGGTCCTCTGGCCCTGTCGGGCCTTGGCCTGGGTGGTGTGAGTCCTCGGTGCCCGGGCCTCGGTGCCTGGACCTGGACCTACATCGGTGCGGCGGGTGCCGACGGAGGCCTATGAGTTTGTCGCTGTTGGCCCCGGGGGGTCACTGTATGTGGTTGCTGGTGGGGGTCTTCCGGTTCTCCCCTGTAGTCCGTTCTGGGGGGTGGGTGAGTGGTTCGCCCTGTGTGGGTGGCTCTGGGGGCTCCGCGGTCGGGGTCCCTCCTGGGGTCTTGGGCTCTGGTCCCCCCTTTTTCGTCTGCCTCTGGTCTTGGGGGTCGGGTCTCTGCTGCTTCACAATTACTAATAAATGTTCTATTAGAGAAGCCTTATACACTTATGCATGCTCACAACCACACACAAATAGAAGCAGGGATGTTTATGTAGGCTGTATATGTAGATATATAGATATGTATATGAATGTATATTCATGTGTATGTATGTATGTATGTATGTATGTATATAGGCGTAGGTATGGGTATATATATTTATTGAAACTTACTGCAAAGCCATGAATATTTTAAGTTCTTTATACATATGTATTTTGTTGCTGTGTTTTGTCATGTTCTTTGCAGGTGAACAGACAGTGGCCGGGTGTTTTGAAGTGTGCTCTATTTGTATATATTTCTTATATTTTGGAGTCTTTCTTTCTTTCTGTCCTATTAAAAAAAAAAAAAAAAAAAAAAAAAAAAAAAAAAAACCTACACTAGAATGTCACTATAATAAATATTTCATAATAATGGTGTGGAGAGGATGGCTGTAAGGGGAGAAGGGAGGCCATCAAAAAAAAAAAAAAAAAAAAAAAAAAAAAAGAAGCTTAAACTACCAGAAGGATGTAGAAAGAGCTGAAATGAGCTAAAAAAATTGAATTATATGAAAAAGCTCAGTTTAGCACAAAAACAGCTAAAAACTAGCTGAAATAGCAGAAAACCTGAAAGTGCAGAAAAAAAGCTGTAAGGAACATAAGCTGAAATTAACATAATGAAGTTACAGCAATTAGGCTGAAATTAGCAGAGATTACCATGAAAAACTTAATTTTTTTCTGAAAACAGCTAAAATTTGCTAAAACGTTTGCTGAAAATGTGGAACAAGCTTAAATTAGCATAATAAAGCAGAAAGAACACATTTGCCCAGATAGGCTGAATGAAGTAAAAATAAGCACAAAAAAGTGGAAGCTCTTTGAATAAAAAGAAGCTGAAATGAGCAGAAACCAGCTGAAAAGTAGCTAAAAAAACAGAAAGAAACTGAAATTACAAGAAGGAAGTGGAGAGAGCACATCTTTGCAGAATTAGGATGAAAAAAAGTTTAGATTAGTGCAAAAATATGTGGAATTAGCTGAAAAAGCTTAAATTAACATAAAAACAGCTAAAGCTGAAATAACTGAAACAAGCAGAAATAAGCTGAAAGGAGTGTAAGCAGAAATTAGTTAGAAGAAACTCAAAAATGTTGTAGTTAACAGAAATAATCTGAAAGGAGCACAAAACAGCTGAAAGTAGTTGAAAAAGTTTAAATTTGCAGAAGGAAGCTGAAAGAAGCTGAAGCAGAACAAAATGTGCAAGGAGCAGTAAAAGGTTGTAAACACATCTAAAGATTTTGAAGGATGTAAAATGAGCTCAATTTATTTTCTATGAGAGAAAAAAAATGGCAGAAAAGGCTAAATATTTCAACAAGCTAAAGCTGCACCAATACCAAAAGTCATAGCAGGACAGAGCTGAACGTTTTGATAAGATTTGTTGAAATAGCTAAAAATCTGCGGGATGAGAAACGTGCTGAGAAACATACGGAAGAGAAACGGATCACAACGAGTGCATGCTTCACGAGCGTTCACACAAAAACAAAGAAACGAGTTCTGGCGGGTCTTTAACCTTCTGCTTGGTGCTTCGGTGCCAGAACCGTGATGGAGACGTTGTCCGAGCTCTTCTGTCCCGCCGTGTCGGTGACCGTCATCTGGAACGTGTAGACGCCCTCCTGGAGACCGCTGACCTTCAGCAGCCCCACATGGGTCGCCTGCAGCGCACGGACAAAATAAAATGTACGAGCAACAACAAATTCAGTCAATATAACCTGACTTCTGTACTGACGTCATTGTTGCTGTTTAAATATATTTTATAGAGTTTATCATTAAAATGTCAGAAAAACGGGTGAGCCTTTCTCTTAAAGACCAGATTTATTAAAATCAACAACATATTTATGATAATAACATAAAGATGAATTTAGCATGAAACAACCAGGATTGGCGTCTTAGAAGCATCACATCCTGCCAACTGTTACGTTTATATGAGAGAATGGTTGTTAAATAATCAAATGTGTCACCAGACAGTGTCTTAACTGCACCTCTTACAGAGTTGATTTATTTATATCCAGGATCATGACCTTTCACCGTCTAAGACTAATGTTTACAACCACAGGCTTTTTGGTTTTTGTCATTTATCTGTTGAAATTAATTAGTTTTACTTGTACCATCAACCTGCACGTTGTGCTCATGCATCATTAATGTGCACGGTCCCTCTTCTAAATAAGTACATTCAAACACCGATGCACTTTCACAGATTTTCTGTTAAAGCTAAGAAAGTAAAAGTGACCACGGTAAAACACATGAAGTGTGCCTGAAGGAAGTCCAACACGCACGTTTGACGGTGGGAGGAAACACAGACAAACACGAGAAGAACATTCAAACTCCACACAGAAAGAACCCACAGCCTTCTTGCTGTAAGGCAACTATGTTAACCACTGATCCATCGTGCTGCGTTGAACTATGGAGCTGTGCAGACGGGTTCATCTTTGGGGTTTTGTCAATGCTGCAAACAGCAAGAGGAAATTTAAATCCCTTTTTTGTTGTTTTGTTAGATTTTCTTCATGTGTTCAACACAATGGTACTTCTTCCAGTTATTTAACTTAAAGAAACTGGTCCAGATGACATGATTGTTGTTATGGATGATTGAGCTTACAAACCTTTTGTCAACAATGGTGTACCACAAGGCTCAGTCTTAGGACCCACCCTCTTTACAATCTACATAAGTAACAACTTTTATTGCTGTCTGTACCTCATCTGTGTTCTTTGTCTAAAACAGGCCTCGCTTGAAAATGAGTCCTCGTGACTCAAATCTGTACAAATAAAGGTTGAATGAAAAAGTTTTGTCTCATCTCCAGACTGTTCCGGTAGAATCTCACAGAGCTGTGACAGCTGGCGTCTCCAAACCGTCTAAAGAGCACAAGGACTGTGGTTTGATACCTGGAGGGGAGCTCCCCTCTGACAGAAAACACATCCAGGTAAATTTAAAAAAAAAAACACGCAGAAGATTAAAGATAATTATTAAAAACTGATCCAAATCTGCCTATCTTCATATCACATCATTTAATCTAGTAGATGAAACTAGATAAACTTGGGTCAAGGCGGGTACAAAGAGGCAATGAAATAACGTGCATGGCTAGAATACAGTTTTGCAAGCTGTTGGAAAAAAAATAAATAAATAAATCATGTTTTTTCACACGGCTCACTGGTTGTAAACTTATTCTGGTGCTTTTTTCCACGTTCTTGTTGTGTTTTCTGTAGGTTTAGATTATTTTCAGGGCTGGTTAGAGTCTGAAGCCCAACCTGACCTTCATGTTGACGCTGGTGTCGCCCTTAACCAGAGTCCATTCGTAGTGGGTGATCCTGTGGTCGTCCACACTGTCCCTCCCGTCCAGGACGGCCCAGTCCGTGGGCAGCTGGATCACCACGTTCTGTCCGGCGTCGCTGCGAGGAGGCTCGTCCACCTCTGAGGGATTAGATGACGGTTAAATCAGCCAGAACGTGCTTTATTCCTTTAATAAATGATAAGTGTTAAATAAAACACTTCTAATGGCCTTGGAGTGGGGCGATTTAAAAAGATAGAGTGTTTGGTTGATTACATTGAAAGGTGCTATACAGTCCATTTACCATTCAAACAAAATACAACATAATAAAGTTTGGTGTGATGAAAAATAACCAGGAATATAATACATTTACATTTCTCTGTGAGAGCCCGAACAAATATACAAATACATTTTTTTTTTTAATTGAAGTGTCAAATAGTAGCAGTCTCCACACCATCCAGGACTTCTACCACAGCTGATGTCTGCGCATGCAGCATCATTAAGGACCACACCCACCCAGCACAAGGACTCTTCCGTCTACTACCCCCAGGCAGACGATACAGGAGTCTGCCATCGCGCACGGAAAGACTCAAAGACACTTATGACCCACAAGCTGTCAGATTACCGAACTCTTGATAATAATACTGAACAACTGACAATAACATCAAAGTTCATGCTCAATAATCCAGGTCAAAAAATCCAACAAAGTTCAGTCAGGTCATAGAACCATCTGACGGGTTGGTCCACTATGTGAGTGTGCTGCTTGTGGACTGAGTTTGTTGTGGCTCCTCGGACTGATGACGTCCTTTGGATGAAGGATGAAACATCACAACAACATCACCGTCATCATCATCTCCGTGCATGCGTGGGTTTTCTCCGGGTGCTCCGGTTTCTTCCCACAGACCAAAAACATTAGACTGATTGGTGACTCTAAAATTGTCCCTAGGTGTGAGTGAGAGAGTGAATGGTTGTTTGTCTCTGTGTCCCTGTGATGGACTCTTGACCCGTCCAGGGTGTACCCCGCCCCTCGCACAGTGATTGCGGGACATGGGCACCGGTGACCCCCCTGACCCTAAATGGAAGAAGCGGGTAAAGATAATGGATGGATGGATGGACCTGGCTGAAATTTGTTGGAATTGACAATAACATCTGCACACCACATCTGTGACACCTAATATGTTTATTGCTGCAGCACTGTGTGGCTGCATCATGTATCATCATAATCCAGGTAATCTGTTACTCACTACCTGTGCAATAACCTGTCACACAACCTGTGCAGTTTTACTTACTGTATGTGAAATATACTGTGTATTTAAGCTTATATTTGTATACTTATTAATTCATCCTACTTGCACCGTTACCATGTTGTTGTTTACTATATTTCTTTTGGACTCTGTAAATATATTTCTTATTCACTTTGTGGTACTTTACTTTGTACTCTTATTGCATGCTTTAGTATTTCCTGTTTGTTTGTTTGTTGTTTAGCGAGTCGAATCTTCTCATCCTGAACATGTCATTGCATTGTTGACCCTGTGTTAATCTGCACATGACAAATAAACAACATAACATCACGTTTCTTAATATTTATCATCTCTTTTTGTAGCTGATCTTTAATAATAATAATAATAATAATAATAATAATAATAATAATAATAATAA